GGGGGCCTTTCATCAGTTGGGTAATCTCGGTGTTAAGGATATTTCTAGTTGTAACTCCAAAAATATCTCTCGATGTTCAGCCAGCTTAGAAGATTTAGTTAATATTAATTATATATATTAAGCTAATAATGCAAAACCACTCACCACCAATTCGTAGACTACTCTAATCGAATAGTAAGATTAACCATTACTTATAATGCTCCCACGGATGAAAAGGCGAGAATGTTCGGTGATGGGATTCAAACACGCGACCTGTAGATTGCAAGTCAAACGCCCTAACAACCAGGCCACGTCAGGCCCTTTCCTTTGGAAACACAGAATCACTAGATATTGTCTTGGACTACTGTCATAGAATTATTTTTCTTTGGAAAGATAACATCAGTATAACTGAACGTCCTAAAATATTACTAATACAACTTTTGACCAATGAAAAGCCATTGATCAACTCCGACTGTGAGGCTTTAAAGAAACATGGCATTTTTGACAAATTTACAACACATGTTACTGTTTAGACTGTGTCGAGTCAAATAATACGTAATAAATTAAAAGAATACCTGAATCACCCATGAAAGTCTAACAATGCTAAATGTAATATAAAGTAAACAATATTTTAAACATAATATGAGGTGTGTCTAACACTATCAGTCTTACTTAGAACAGGTAAGAGTAAGTAATAAATAATGTTATGTCTTCTGTAAAACCGACAAGGAAACACAATAAACCTCTAGAAAATATAATAGTAATACCAATACATAGAAAGGAAAGTTACAGCACTCATTAATATGGCAAAGAAAGTGATTAAGAAAAACTAATGTAACTTAACTAGTAACATAATGTCATATCGCATACGAAACTTTATGTAGCTAGTGTTGTGATATGCAGGCACATGTTTTCTATCTGCTTTAGTTATATAAGAATATTCAAATTTTTTTATTTAGTTTGTAAGCAGTTTTAGAATAAAAACAGGGTCCAGAAAGTCAGTGAGATTGTCAAGTTGTAATTACTTTGTTGTTGATTTTTCTGTATAGTAGATTATGTTTATTCTGTCCAAAAAGATATTGCAGTAACATATAGCAATTGGGGTGAAAGGATTAGTGATTGTAATGCCCTTTGCTGGCTACCTTGACATTGTCAGAATGTTACAGCTGATCAATGATGTGAAAGAACACGAGGTGACGCTGTAAACTGGACAGAGAAGCCTAAGTGTTTGATTGTTGCATTCAAATATACTTTATTGGTTCAGAATTCCACCTGGAATTCTTCAAGTAAAGACTTACTTTAAGATTATCATGTTTAGTTCAACAGAAGATATCTGTGGAGCTAATCACAATTCACTAGGAGCAACTGTTGTTCTGTGTGCGGGTACATAAGGTGCATTTCCTCTTTACTTTTGCAAACTTTCTGTTATTAGTAGGACTAACTATTTAATACATATCAGTAAATCGTTTTCTACCTGAAAATACTTCAAGTAAATGGGAAAGAGAAATTTTGGTACCATGATATCAGGACTTATTGCAAAGTTTCTGTATAAATAATGTGCATAATAACACTTGGTTAATCTCCTCTTACGACTAGAATGGAATTTTCATGATCTAGAAGTACTCACAAGATAAAGAGAGAAGTTAGCATAGGGAGACAGTTGTATGGGAAAGATGTCGAGTCGATTTATGTTGGTCAGATTACTACTACTGATTCAGAGAGATTTGCTAGCATCTGGAGCACCAAAAGTGATCGATCAGATGTTACCCCTGAGGCTCAATCTCAATGGAAGGGAAGCGAAGATGACTGAGAATCATCAAATTAGAATGGCACCTAGTGAGTTGGTAACCATATGGAGAGGTTTCTATTGAACTCTTAGGCTGTCACTAGATAAAGTCTAGCATCCCTAGCTCTGTCCCAAGCAACCAGCGACTAGTGGACGGAGGCTGGACATGCTTCTGGTAAACGATTTCAAACAGTAGGAGTTGTCTCTCTGGGAGGTAAGGCAATGGGTATCCATGGATAAAGACAATGACCTGGGGTACCTTTCAGGATAAATAGATTCCCCATGACATTGATGGAAGCTTGCAGTACTTGGGGTCATGCATGGCTATACAATGAGCCACCTTGAGTAGCTTGTCATCTGTAGACTTGGATCAGGACTGGCCACCCAATGGGATACTGGAGCCGCTGTCATTGTTTTATATTCTGAACCTAGGACATTGGCAGCATATTCTCCTATCATTCATTGAAATGACAAGATAGAGAATCTTTGGCTCAGCACACAGGTTTTTGTAAGTAAAGCCAAATAGATCATGCTCCAATTATTCAAGGGGATGGAAAGAGAGGACCTAGACTGATTTTTAAAATATTTCAGACAGGTTATTGCCTGGAATGGATGGGCATAGAAACAGGCTGAGCAATGCCTGGTCTCTAGCTTAGATGGTCTGGCCCTTGATGCTGTTGAACCTGGATGAAAAACAGCAAGATGACTAGGAAACAGTTGTGTAAGAGCTGTATCGATAAATCGACCTAGTGCAGAATCGGAGACAAAATATCCTGGTTGACAGCTTCATCAAAGGAATTCCCAATAAACAAAGGCAACAACACCTGGGATTGAGAGACTTCATCACTCTCATGAAAGTGATGACTGGTCCACGTAGATGATGTTTTGATGTTTGGCCACATAGATAAACTTTTCAGTGCATGTCTGAGAACCTGAAAATTGTATTCCAGCTTATATCAAAAGCAGTATTTAAACGGAAACCAGAATAATTTTCATCTATACAACCAAAATCGTAGTTTGTCATAGGACATATAACAATCACAGTAGCAGTCATAACACTATTTATATGAGCCATTTGTTACAACAAC